TGCAGACAGATGAAGGATCTTGTTAGCAGCGTTAGCAGGTTCTTGTTAGCAGCTTGATGATAATAACGACTGCTGCAGCTGCCCTCCAGAACTGGGTTCAGCAGACAGAGAACATCCAAGGTTTCCCCGCGGAACGGAACTGTATCTGTGAAGTCTACTGTAAACGAGGCCACATGAGACAACTCCAAATGACACGTTGCTCCATGTTTTGAACTGTAAGAATGTGTTCTGATCTGAAGCAGGGAGAGGAGGAGCAATTGTCTTCCATTTCAGAAGGTCTATTTTACATGTAAAGTACAAGATCACCAGCCCTGGGCCATTGTAACTCCACCATGCGGTCACAAACAATGGCCCCAAACGTAAACAGACAACCCATCTTCTTCAGAGCTCGGCCACATCTCCTGGAGTCATCACCACCATCAACTAATGGGAAGTCCTACTCTATCATGTGACCCAGCTCTCAACCAATAATATCTCACCATCTTGTGTTCTATAATGGGTGGGTGTGTGAATGTTGGGAGTTGTAGGCATGTAGCTGAAACTACATTTTCTACCGGAAACGGAATCAGATCATGGTTTAACACAATATCATTCTGAATATCAAAACGGGATACATATATCTAGACATTTCATTAAGTTAATATATTATCTGATAAAATTAGATTTCAGAACCAAATGTGTTGCTTTAAATTATTGTCCTAAAAATATCAAAATAACGGTTAATAACTCTTTTATTACATGCAAGTACAAGAGGGAAGAGCAAGAAAATAAGACAATGACGTGAATATGTCAGGGGATTTTTGGTCAAGGTTTATGGATGTTGTTTAACTACTATGTCTGAGAATGTTAACTGCCCATGAACCATATGTTGGAGTTACCAGAGAGTTCTTTTCTCTCTGAGAGAGGGATGCTTTTTGAGTAAGTAAAATGAATAGAGGATATTTATCCAAGAAACAATGAACTAAACCTAAACAAGGGAAGAACCTACAAAAAGCTTGTTTTATTTTTCAGAAAACTAAACAGAAATTAAAGGCTTCTCGTTCCTCAAATGTACATGTAAGCCAACGCCTTTCAAGTCAGAATTTTAAATTAAAATGATCTTAGGTGGTGAAAAGATGGAGTTACGGCTGTTTTGGTCAACATTTGTAAAATCTGTTGTCCTCAGTCTGAAGCAAGAAATGTGATAGCTCTTGAAGTGTGTATTGCTGATATTTCTCTACTTCTACATCAAATATCAGCTCTGTATCTGTAAAATTATAGACATTTTTTGTGTCTGCTAAGATTGCTTAGCTGTGGCAGCCATCTTAAATGGGGTTGTCTCCAAAAGGTAATCATTTGTCGATATAATGTGTTCAGTGATTGCTTTCTGAGATCTTTAATAAAATCCATCCACTGGTTCTCAAGATAGTTTGCACACAAACACACTCAGACAAGCCTCACATTATCGCCTCTCACCTTCAGCAGTGGGCGATAATGAGGAGAAACCAGTCTTCATCATGCCCCTTGCGTGCATGCAGTTACATGAATAACCCTTCACCGTCTCAAGAAATACAGAAAAAATGTTTCTGCTTATTATTTCAATAAGCTGCGATTCATAAAACGACAGACTATGTGAAATCCAAACGATAATAAACAGGATCTGTTGGACGTTTGTGTCTCCTTCCGAAACACAACGATCGCCCAGGCAAACCTCACAGCTGCCACTAAGAGCCGGTCCAATTTTAGCCGAGGGGAAGGAAAGGCAGTTTGGAGAACAGAAGCCGCGAGGGAGGAACAAAACAAACGGGCTTAAAGTTAAACCACGACGCTGCTTTGTGAGCAGTTTTTCCTCAACCAACGCCCAAAAGGTAACAAAGAATGTGGAACTTTCCAGACGGCCTCCGCTGGTTTGACACTTTTCTCTCAGATTTGATGACTTCATGCTCGGTTGGCCTTTGGTGTTGAATTCCAACGAGACAGTTGGGCTTGAAATTCCCCCTCAGGTGTGAAAGGAAAGCAACGGAGTGACAGGAATCTAAAATCAGCCTCAACAGGAGTCATATCAAAAGCTCTGATCTGTGCTACGGAGCCTGAAATTACATCGTTAAGCAGGTGTGAGCTGCACCTTTAGACAACCTGAGTCAAAGGCATGTCACTGTTTGTGCGTTTCAATCCAACGCGGCAGGAACGACTTTAGCTTTCTTTTTCATGACTCTTTGTCCTTTGCAGGATTCATGAGTCATGCATGAGTTTAAAAATATTTCATTGTTTTTCTTCCTATGGAACCACGAGGCAAGAACAAATAGATGTTGACAGGCGTCTTCTCAGTGAGTGACAGCAGAGTTATGAAAAATAACGACACGTTCTTGTCTAGTAGAGCCATTTGTGGGCCGTAAGGTTAAAGTTCATTGAAAGTGCTCAGTTAGGACAAAAAGTTTGGCTCCTGCACAGATTGACACTGCAGACCCTTTGACCCCTGTTAGCACGTTGTTCTTTTTCATTTTTTAGAGCATGTCTGGTCTTAAAGACGGAGACAACGGCTGTAATTTATGACACAAGTCAAAACCTTTCTAATCCCATAATCACATTTATATAACGCGACACTGGAAAACAATTGATCTAAAATTAAAAAAGTTTGGCAATAAGTCAATAATATCAATTTATATTATGTGAATGTAGAAGCTTCAACACTTTCAGTTATTATTTGTGGATAGTTGATGTTTTTAATTTGCTTTGTTTTCACCCTCAGCTAAGAATGAAGTTATGAGGTTGTGTTTATCTGCAGCACCATTACCTAAATATGTCATGAATCAATGGATGGATTTGAATGAAATTGTCAGAAAGTAATTAATGGATGTACTTCTACTAATAATATACCATTCATGATGGCCACCACAGCTAAACAACCTTGGCAAACACAAAAATTGATATCATTTAGCTAATTTTACAGAAATATAGCTGAAATTGGTTGTGGCAGCACTTAATGATTGAGCAAAATCAGATTTGAATAATTTGCCGTAAACTATTTAAATCAATTCTGTGTGATTGTTTGCAAAGAGATCATGAAATGGATTATAATAAAACTGCCAGAAAGTAATCACTGGCTGTACATCTAAAACTCATCAACAACTGGAGTTAGTCCAATTCAAGATGGCTGCCACAGCTATTTGACATTAAGTCAACACAGAAAGGACGAACTCAGTCCATATTAGAGACGCAGCTAAATATAGTGTGACTGCAGCTGATAGTGATCGCTACAATATTCTTTGAGCACTAACACTCTTCATGAAACGAGCTTCCAGCATGACGACTTTTACACGGTTTGATCAAATGGGTCTATGTAACTCTGTTCCTTCTCATTTTAGGTCAATTTAAGCTTAAAACGCTGATAATGAAGATGCTAGGCCTTAATGTCACCTGCTATTTTCATTTATTTTCATGCTACAATAAACAGTCTTAAAAACTAAGCTGGTTCTAGACTTCATGAAGTTGGGTCAGTGCTGTGAATCTTTTAGCCTACGAATCTAATAATAAAGATACAATTTATTTCTGAATGTATGGAAAATGGAGGAATTCAGAAGCTATATCCAGAATATTAACTGCTGTTACAAGATAACTAACTTACTGTATTTTAAAGCTAAACGGTGGACCAGACATGATGTTTTGTAGGATGCATATATCACTTCCTGTTATGTACTGATAACATTTCATTGCCTCCTAGAATAAATGGTACCCATAAAGCCCTGGTCTTTAATGGAGGAAATAAAATGGACATTCAGTCTGATTAACAGGTGTAAATATGCCATCACTCCACTGAGTCTAAAGTCAGATTTTATGATGCTGTAATGCAGTGCAATCACATGAATTTACGTTACAATGGTACTTTAACAGAAATTCCTCAAGACTTAATATGCGCTCTAACCAGCATTTCTTTATGGGTTTTATGCATCACACAACATGAACAACACGGTGAACCATTTCCATGTGGGTTCAGCTGCAGTTCATTTGTACTAAATGAGAGAAAAGAATTGATATTGTTCGTTAAAGCTACACAGTGACTTCGCTTGGCATGTGTGAAGGGGGTGTTAGATGCAGTGTCTGCTGCAGACTCTCCTGTGAGCACTGGATGCAAATCAGTCACAGTGGAAGGAAAACCGACAACCTTGGCATGCACTGTCTTTATTTTCGGAACAGATTGCATCCCACATGGTGTCTTGCAGCGGGACACTGCCTCAGCTTTTTAACCAGCATCTGCTCTCTGTTCTCCTGTTTGATCCTCGGCCTGGTGCGACACTTTATCCACACAACGTTACCAAACTGTGGCACCCCGTCACACAACAACTCCCCTAAAATCCCAAGTGCTTCTTACCAGACGTGTGGCTAATTCAGAGCAGCCAACCGAGAAGCTGAACAAATTATACAGCAAAAACACACGAGCATTGGTGCGAGCAAGTCAGACGATTAAAAAAACTCAAACATCTGCTTTTGAAGATGATTCCAAATAAAATCAGTGCCAGCTCATGCTCCTTTGAATCTGCCTCCACAACATGTCAGATGATTCTGGGCATGATTCTGCTTGCAGATTTAAAAAAAAAAAAAAAAAAGATCAAACGTGTGTAAACCGGAGGACTGTGTTAACCTTACCCATAATGAAGTGTAATAAATTTATTCAGGACGTGAATAAGGCGATAAAGTTGAAGTGACAGTCATCTCCTGTAAGAGTTCACTCACGTGGAGCCTTCAGATGTTATCACTTTTCTAACATCTATGAGAACTATAGATCTTTGCTAAAATACTTCTGGTGACAGGAGAGGAAGCAAAGCCTTAAAATTAGACTTCAAACATCTGCTCCAGATGTGCACACTGCTTTAAAAGATAATAAGCATGCATTCCAGGAAAGCAAACTACTTTTATCCTGCACAAGGACAAATATGCTTTTATTTTGATGCACTGAGTATTTCATTACAAACGAGAATGGATTTTCAACATGCAAAACCAGAAATAAATGCACCAGAACCTACCATTTCTTGTTTGAGTCTTCTCAGACACGCGTCCATGTTTCTGGATTCAGGTTTGAAGAAGCTTCTCTTCCTGTTTTCTATTTAGTTTTTTTTTATATATATATAATTATATATATATATATATATATATAAATCAGATGAAACGCCGCTAGAGCATGACTGTGAACGCTTTAATATAAAATCAACAGCAAATGATTTACAGAAGCGCAAATCCTGCGGAGGAACGCGCGCGCGGCTCGTAATGACGCAGTCACGATAAACGTGTTTATTCCCCCTCAAAAAATGATGATGAGATTCTTCTTATGGCTGCGATAGTCCGCTTGCTGCTTCTCTGCCTCTTGGCTGCTTTATGACTGACGGTGTGTGCGCGCGTGCATGTGCGCGCGTGCTACGTTACTCATTCAGATTCCTCCAATGAGGAAGCAGACTGACTCTCATTCAAACAGGACACAACGGATCCATCTTTTATCTTGGGAAAGCAGGTTTGCCACTTAAAGAGAGTTTAGAGAGCCACAAAAAGGAAGATGAAACATCTGCAGATATTTTGCATATTTCAATATATTTCACATTTTAATTATGCAGCTTCTGTTCTTGGAGGAAATTAAAGGAAGATGTGTTAAAAAAAATTCTTGGGACAGTTTCCGGTTACCTTCTGTGCAGACAGAAAGGAAGCATCTGAGCATCTGAGCACGAGGCTGTTGTTCCTCTGACTGGGATGTGACAGGAAGGAGGAACTGTATATGCAGAGACGCCATGCTGAAAGTTTAGTTTCCCTGCTTAATGCATAAGGATGCACATGCTGCAAATAACTCCGTCTATAACTCAAAGAAAGTGAAACCTCAGGGCTTTTTAAAGATAGTCATTAATAATGTTCCTTCTCAAAGTAATGCATACTGGTACCATCAAACAGAGCTAAGCTATATGCAGCCAAACAACAATGGAGGATGCCTTTAGTGGAAGGTTTGGATAACTTGGCAACCTGTTTTTTGTCATCTGGATGTTTTAAAATCAGGTCTGATGGTGGTGATGTGTTCCAGATGGACAGACTGTTGCAAAGATCCTGAACCTTGCAGTGCAGCAGGGAAAATAAAATTAAATCAATCATCTGAGCCCAACTCGACTTGGGAAGATGAGATTTAACTGACCTGAAATGTTTTCTTCTACCCTTTGAAGGAACTCATTGCAAATTCATAAAGACAAAAAAAAAAGGAAGAAAAATTATAAAGAAGGAAACAAAATCTGCACGTTTTTTCTCATATCGATGGTTAATGTGGCTTTAATTTAAAATTTGTAAGAGAATATTTGCCCCCAGATGCCATCCACTAATGTATTATGGGTTTATTATTACAGAAACAGCAGAAGTGACTGAAAATAGGTTAACGATGCGGTGATGATCCATGGAAGAACTGCATACAAGAAATCTGACAAATAACTTTAAATTAAATGGTTTGTCAGAAGTTTAACAAAAGTTCTGCTTTGTCTTTTGCACTCCACCACCCTGCCTGACGATTTTTATTGCAGCTGTCTTACTCGATCTTTTGGTTATTTTATATAATTGTTCTTTAGGTTCAGTAGAAGAACTGCGTTAATTGAACTATATGGGAGTTATTCAGCTCCAATGATGTTTGAGCAAGGCTGTTTCTGAGATCAGAGTTAACATAAAATCCAGTGATTCTCAGTTATAACTTTAATTTAAACACCATACCAACAAACTTAAAGGGGGTTTGCTAAATGACTTGAACTACTGGGCTTACAGACTGATCTGTTAATCAGTTTCCTGCCTTTTGGACCTGCAGGAAGGTCCTAATAGCTTGATGTTCTGTTCTTCATGCAGTCTTTGCAGGCTTGTTGCATTTTGCTGTTGTTGTAATCTTTTTTAATCATAACTTGAGTTTTTTTTAAAGTGTCTCATTCAAAAAAAGACAAATCAAATGGAACAGTTTATTAAAACAGAGTTTTGAAACAAACACTAAAACTTTCCCATGGTAAAGTGACTGGGCTGCTGTCTTCACAAGACATCATTTAGACGATGACATGTGGGTTTATTCAGCGTTCAACAGCCTGCTTCATGATTCACATGATAGTTTCATCCCAGTAATGACCTCGACCTGCAGCTGGTTCTCGTCTGGGAGCGAACTTCCTCCCAGCTGTCAGCATGAACACAGCGCTGGAGAAGGAAGCGACTCCTCACATCACTCAGCACTGAAACACTGAAACAAAGGCTGTGCGAGATGAAACTGTGGAATGGCAGATCACTTTATAATCCTTAATGAACTGAAAGTTGAGACTTGTTAGATTTTTGTGTTCAGACCAAAACTGGATCAAGGCAAGACAAAGAAATCACTGCAGTGAAACCGTACTGGTGTTGTTTTGACGGCATTCTTTCCATCATAGATACTTTAATCTTTCCTAATCTGTGTTTAGTCTGTTAACAGAGCCAACCACCAAGAAAGGAGATTAAAAGCCTCCAGTGGTTCAAGTTTAAACAAATGTAAAAGTTTTAGACAAGTTTTGTTTTGTCTCATTTTTATTGCTACCATATTTTTCAGACTATAAGTGTATTAATTCTGGTTGTGTGTGGTTATTATGAATGAGATGAATAAAGTTTGACATATCTCACTGTTTTGTTTCACTTAATGCACCTTATCATCCGGTGCGCCTTATAGTCCGAAAAATACGGTAATTACAAGATTAGAACGCATCATCACACTCTCACGTTTTAGATTTAATCGGAAAACCCAAACACACTAATAATGTAACACAGTAAACATTGTGGGGGGTCCTGTTTTTTCTGCTGCTCTGAAGACCAACATTTCCACACCTGGAGATAATCTTAACGAGATGCCAGGAGTATAAAAGGCAGTAGATGGCTTCTCCTTGCTGCTGGAGCATTACCTGCCTCTGGTAGTCATGTTCTACACCTTTTGTATTCTACGATCCTTGAGAAAGACTTACCTGTGTTACTTTTGCTATTTACAGAATGTCTCCTCGTGCCTGGATTTCTTTGAAGAACCCCTGGAAATCTCTTGTGTCTCCTCATCTGTCTTCCTTGCCTTTACAACCACATGCCCTACTACACAACCATAAGATCTGAAATCGAACAACATCATCCTCCTCTTGGAAAATATCTAACTTGTGTCCTTGCTCCTCGGGGTTCCAGTGCGTTATTACCCACTGTAAATAAAATTACTTTAAATTTATTCTCTATCTTGAAGTTTATTCACTCCCCAGTCCTTGTCTCTGGGTATTCAGTTAAACATAACAAACATGAACTGAAAACCACGATTTGACAATTTATTTATTGACCTTTTCATTACAGAATCCAGCAATCGTTACTCAAAAGAAACTATTTTAAGCTGTCAAATCAGTTCGTTTGTGACCCGGCACCTAAAACACTCCGAATCCTCATGAAGTAGGACAGTTAGTCATGGTTTACATTTAACTTCTCACGTATTTTTAAAACAAAAATCCCCAAACCCATTGCTTTAAATACGGTTATTGTTTATTTTATTAATGATCTTATTTGTTAGAAATAAATGGGATTATTTTGCTCCGATGAATCTGTGGGCCTTCAAGTTGAAAGGATCAACTTTTTGACAAAGTTCTCAAGAGTAAAGCCCAAACAATTACATTCTGTTAATAATTAGGAAAATCTTTGGCAGATAAATTATGATAGATGATCTTGTTGTCTACATGGTGTTTACTGTCATTTGATAAAAAAAAGAAAAAAGAGATTACACAATGCTGTTTAACCTTTAGTACCAGTAAACAGGTTTGATTTGAGCTTTAAAGAAGTTGCTGTGCTGCCATCTAAAGGTTCAGAAGTTTTATTACAGAACAGTTTCTGGTAAAAGATCACCGGAAACAACTTCTCTGTTTGAAATGTAACCTTTGACCTCAGTTACTTGTCTGAGTCTGACCCTCCTGTTCTTGTCACAGCTGTGAAGACAAATTAAAGTAATATTTTCCAAAGCGCTGTGCAGTAAAAAGCAGTAAATTCATAATCAAAGACACATTTCATACATTGAAGCAAAATGAAAACGACCTTTGACATAAGACATTTAAAAATATTCACGCATTACTTTGCTTTGCTCACTTACAACAACAAAGAAAATTATTGACAAAAGATTTTTAATTCTTTAACAGAATAATTTTCAGTGTAAGTTATTTTCACAGTTGACTGCAAACTTTTCTTCTCTTATTTGGTGAGAGCTGCTTCCACTCCACAAGGAAGATGCTTTGTTTAAAGCGGTGGGAGCTGTGTCCGTTTACCTCCAAGCAGAGCTCGTCATGATGGGTTTGAGTCATCGAACGCGTCATGTTTCATCACTAACGATGAGTTCAGCTGCGAATAATCAGCAGAGTCTCAGGTGTGGCTGAGAGAGATCTGACAGTCCCTGCTGGGTTGAATGGATGAAAAAGATGTGTCAGGAAAAAAACTCCTTAAATTTAAGTGAGTATTTTTATGTGACTAATGTTTCATCACTTCATTTTGAGTGTTGTTGAATGTTTTAAAATAAAAGTTTGCCCTCAATAATTTTTTTTCATATACAGTAGTCTCTCGCTACTTCACCGTTGGCTTTTCACGTACTCGCTCTATCGCGATTTTTTTCAAAGTAAGATTGGACATGACAAACAATTGGATGTTTGATGGATGAGCCGCACGATCGGCATGTATTTTTAAAATTTAAAATAAATTATTGTAAATGATTTAGCACCTGTGTGCAGCCCACAGCTGTGGGAAAAGTTTCCTCCAGCAGCTGATCAGCTGATCTCCATGCAGGGCGTAGAAGTGGGCGTGGCCGAGAGTTGCAGCTGGAGGCAGGGAGCTGAAATCATGACATTCTGTGCTTTTTTAGAGCATTTAGAGTTTAGAA